AAGGGGCCCCCCCCCCTCCATGCGCACACCTCTGTCCCCTCTGGAAAGGGACTTATCAGAGACAAAACCGCAGCAGGCGCACCCCCTTCAAGGGGCTTCCAACCCATCCACAAACATCCACCCAGAAAGGGGCTTTCCCTTATACATCCCCCAAAAGCAATCCCTCTCTCATCCCACTCTACTCAGGAAAAGGTGTTGCTCCCACCAAGACATTCCCTCACACAGATATGGAAGAGTCGTCACCCTTTTTCCAAATATTCCCTCCACTCCAGGAGGAGTTGACCTACTCCTTCAGACTAGCTGCTTTACACACATGGTAAGGAGAGAGAGCTTTCTCCTGAAGGAGCATAGGCCTTTCCCAGAAAAGGGAGCAGTACCTCTCCAAAAGATCCCTACACACATCCTTCCGAGAAGGAGGCACTTCCCCCTTGCCTCCCTCCCCCAAACACGCAGAGACATTTTTACTGTATGTGAACTGTGTGAGCATTTTCTGATTTGGCCTGGTTGTCTCCATCTAATAGTAATTAATGTTTGCTAATGGAAATACTGCTGTCTGAGGATGGTAAGGTCCTTTCTCCAGCCTGTATAGTAGTGGGAATTCCACCCATTTGGCACACTGGTAAACTGAGGTACAGGATAGGGATGTGAATGGTTAAAAAGTTAACAGGTAAGCCTCACCCTTGGCCTTAACCCGTTCTAGTTAACCCCTAAGGGCTGGAGCAGCTCCCTACAGGCAGGGGGCTGCTCCAGCCCTGCCAGGACCACACAGCAGGCAGGCGCTGCTTCAATGTGTCAACTGTCCATGTCTGGCCTGGCCTCTCCCTCCCTCAGAGCTGCCCTTGTTCACCATGGGAAGGGCGCTCCAACCCACTGGGGGAGTGCCCCCCCTTGTACTTGGTTAACTAATGTTTAACCAGTTAACCAATTAAATGGGATTTTACATCCCGGCTGTGTCTAGACTGGCAAGTTTTTCCGCAAAATCATCTGATTTTGCGGAAAAACTTGCCAGCTGTCTACACTGGCCGCTTGAATTTCTGGAAAAGCACTGATGATCTTATGTAAGATCGTCAGTGCTTTTCCGGAAATACTATGCTGCTCCCATTTGGGCAAAAGTCTTTTTCCGAAAGACTTTTGTGCAAAAGGGCCAGTGTAAACAGCACAGTAGTGTTTTCCACAAAAAAGCCCCGATCACGAAAATTGCGATCGGGGCTTTTTTTCAAAAAAAACTCATCTAGATTTGCCACGGACGCTTTCCGCAAAAAGTGCTTTTGTGGAAAAGCATCCTGCCAATCTAAACGTGCTTTTCCAAAAATGCTTTTAATGGAAAACTTTTCCGTTAAAAGCATTTTCACAAAATCATGCCAGTGTAGACGTAGCCCCCAGTACAGGGAAATGGTATGACTTTTGCAGTATTATACAGTTGAATCATGTCATCTTGTGCATTTGTCACATAACCATCCTTCCCACATTTGCACCAGCAATGCTTCTTTTCCCTTCCTTTCAGTCATCTGATTTCTTCTTTTCAATTGATGTTTCCCATTCCCCACTTCTCAGTCAGTCGATTCTGGCCTTAAATTTCTTTGTAACCTTTGTGCTCCTACACTCTGGGGGTTAGTAAAGACCGGGAAGTAGCACTGCGGGCTCTGTGTTCTTCTCTACTGATTCATATTTTTTACATTTCTACCATAAGTAAGTGAAATATCATGAAATTACCAGTTCTCACTTCATTTTAGTGGTTTATTGATGGTCTGAAAAGGTCACTGAAGTACATATACAAAAGTATTTGAAATACAAGTACCAGAACTTGTAACCACTACACTGGCATAACCCTTTGACAAATATTGATTTTTGTTGTCATTTGTTTGTTTTCCTTTATTTATTGTCCAAAGTTCAGTGCAAATAACACAGCACCTTTCATCAAAATGGATTCCTGGGAATTTTACACATCTTCATAAAAACAGTACTTAGGCAAAACACAGGCCCAGATTCACTGCTTCTTTGAGCTTCTGCTCAGTGTAGGTATGAATATAGAAAAATCAAGGGAACTGTTTATCTTTTATTCTTATGGTGAATCTGTGCTACTCTGTGCCCTGTATAGATTGGAGTAGCCTAGGATTTGTTCTAATTTACACTAGCTGGCTGCGGTTTCTAAGGGACCATATGACAGTTGAGCATAGCCACAGTATGCAGCATACTCTCTTCAGTAGTCCCGCTAACCAAAAGGACCGAGTGAAGGGTAGGGTAGCACAGAAGCTGGATACCAAGGCTTAGTGCCACTTGAGAGCTCTCTTAGTCCAGGGGAATTTTCAACTGCTGAGATCTGACTGCTTTCTATTCCCTTTGCACCTTTTAGATACTACAAGGAGCCACAACATAACAGAGAATCTGGACCCCAACAAAAGGAAATAAGTTGCATTTGCTTGAATAAGGAGTGCGGGAATGGGACCACTTTTTATAGGATATACATGTTTCACTTTGCTTATCAATGCAGTATTGTAATCTGAGGTGGAACACAGTAGTTTACTGCACAGAGAAGAATACCATGCAATTTGAAAGTGCAGAGGGGATTGATGGAAGCAAAATGTGACTGCCAATTTGACATTTGTCCAAGGCACCAGGATAACACCTTTACTGTTGCAAAATTACTGACATTTTTTATAACTCTGAGAGCAGACAGTGAATCTTTGACACTTCTTGGCACTTCTTTCCTCAGACTCTTTCAAGGCTCAGGAATCACCTGAAGCTGTTCTTACTGGATCTCTTAAACTCTGAATAGTAGTATGGTGACCAGTGTTTATTTTATCTTAGTCAATTTGTAAACTCTTCTGGGCAGGGAATGTTAGTATAGTTGTAATTTATCATGTAAACGTACAGTGCTGTATGAATGTTTTATAAGAAAACTTCTCTGTTGGACTACCCAACTTTCATGTTGTAAGTACACCATGTTGTGAGGCGGCATGGCTGAATAGCCATAGTCTGTAACAGTCCTATGTTCAGGGCAGCACAGCCCAGTGGCTAGAGTTAGTAACACAGCCCTTGGGTTCAGTGCAGCACAGCCTAATGGCTAGAGTCTCACAGGGTTGGGGCAACAGCTCCGGTAGGAGGGCTCAGGCCCACCCTACTCCACTAGACCCCAACCCAGGGCCCTGTCAGTGCGGAATCCCACCACAATATGCTGAGCTTACTTAGGTGGGAGAGATCACTCACGCACCCTCTCTGGGTCACTTCCTACCAGATCCAGCATTGGGGTGATTCACATAATTTCCAGGTCCTGTGGTTCCACAGCACCAGTCTCTCCCTGAGGTTCCACCAGCTCTGAAGGCTCAGTGCAGTCTCCCAGATCTCCAGCTCCCGTCATCAGGGTCTCTGGCTGGATTAACTCTGGAGTTCCTGTAGCAGGCCCTTCAGCATCCCTCCTAGAGCTGGCTGGATTAACTCTGGAGTTCCTGTAGCAGGTCCTTCAGCATCCCTCCTAGACTGAGCTGAGCTGCTTCCTTTTATACTGCTCCAGCTCTTGGAGCATGTCCAGTGCAGTTTGGGGTCAAGACTTCCTCTTCCCATAGAGCATTAAGCCCTCCTGTCCCAGTGAGGGGTACGCATACCCCATCAAATACCCTCCCCCTGAAGAGGGAACCCAGTGAGTGTTCTCTCTCCAAGGCTCCACTGGCTTTGGTGGTTCAATCCAGTCTCCAGCATTGACATCTTCTTGGCAATCGGCAGTCATACTCCTGAACAACCTCTTTCAACAGGGACTAGTCTCTACCTAGTAGTACAGAGTAGGTTAGTTAGGGCACCATACCTACCTGAAGGACCTCTTCCTGGACACAGACCTCAAGGCTTACTCAGCAGTTGAATAGGGTCATATATCCCTGTGGATGCTTTGTAGGCAGATTGTGTCACCAGAGTGTTGGAGGCAGGAACTAGTCCCTCTTGTAGCATCATCTGGCTGCAGCCGGAGTCCTCCAAGGCAGTTTTACTTTCCCTCCATGGACACTGGCGCAGGAACCAGTCCCTCTTGTAGCATCATCTGGCTGCAGCCGGAGCCCACCAAGGCAGCTTCACTTTCCCTCCATGGACACTGGTGTCACTAGTTTCCCTAGGCTTAGTTTCCGTGCCTGGTGCCTGAGGAGCCAGACTTGGCCATATCTACAGTCCATATATGGGCAGCTGTGTTAGAAGGGTCTCTCTTGGCCGCACTCCCAGTAATGGTCCCATGTTCCGGTGGCCTTTGGGCCTTTGTTAGCCTGGCCCCTTTCCTTTCCTACAGGGACTTGACTAAATTGCTGTTGGTACTTTAGATTGGTGATTTTGACATAGCCCAGATAAGAGGTGGGTAGGTACACATTCCCCAGAGCCTCTCGCTTCTTTGGGCCTTCCAGTCACTAGGGGCGGGTCCAGGCCTCCTCTGCTGACTGGTAATCCTTCATTAGTGCCACCGCACCTGCCAGTGACATCAGCCTATGGCATTGGATCTGTTTTGTTGCTCCCCCAGAGATCACCCCTATAAACTGCTCAAAAGCCACTACTTCCACCATCTGGGGGCCTGTTAAGTCCTCTGGGTTCAACCATTTCCAGCAGTGGTTCAATATGCATTGGGCCACAGCCTGCGGTCAAGCCCCTGCATGTTACCCCTCCTTATGCAGCCGCAGATGGTAAGTCTCTGGGCTGATTCTTGTGTGGTCCAATATGACCTCTTTCACCCTGCATAATGTAAAGCTTCTCTTGCACTGAGATTGCAGTAGACCATCTGTGCCTGTCCCATTAAATAAGTGGGTCAATAGCATGGCCCAATGTTCTTCAGAGCAACAAGTGGCCATAGCAACCCACTGAAAGATAACTAGGAAGGCCTTCAGATCATCACCTGGCCTATGTTCAGCAACCAAATAGGGAGGGCCATTAAGGCACCTTCCGATCTTGTTCCCATGGCAGAGGGTCCTGAGGGTCCACTATGGTGCTGCTATCTGTTGGACCAGTGCCTCCTGTTAGTTCTGGTATTGGGTAGCCAGAGAAGAACATCTGTTGTTGCTCTTGGACCAATTGAGTCTGTTATTGTTGGGATGCCTGCTGTTGTTGGTTCTTCACCATCCACTTCAGGAGCTTTTCTAAGTCTGTCTTCCACTGATATCAGGGACAGGGGGGTTTTCCCATCCCAGTCTTTCCACCTGGACTTCTTAGCAAGTCCTGAATGATGCCCACATTCTCCATCACTTGTCACATTATAAGTACACCCCATCTCAAAGCAGCATGGCCCAATGGCCACAGTCTGTAACATAGTCCTAGGTTCAGGATGACACAGCCTAATGGCTAGAGTCAGTAACACAGCCTTTGGGTTCAGGGTAGCACAGCCTAATGGCTAGAGTCATTAAGAGGCTTAAAACAGCGCTGGGGTTTAGGGCAACACAGCCTAATAACTAGAGTCTCAGAGGTTTGGGAAAGCAACCTCAGTAGTGGGGCCCAGACCTAGCCAGCGGGGAGAGATCCACCACTCACTCAGCAGGGAACCCCACCACAACACGCTGAGCTCACTTGAATGGAAGATGCCACTTGTGGACCTTCCCTGGATCACTTCCTACAACATCCAGCATTGGGGTGATCTACATAGGTTCCAAGTCCTGTGTCCCACAGTACCAGTCTTCCCCTGAGGTTCCACCAGCTCTGGAGGCTCAATGAAGTCTCCCAGATCTCCAGCTCCCATCATCAGGGTCTCTGGCTAGGTTACCTCTGGTGCTTCTGTAGTAAGTCCTTCCTCTCTGGTATCCAGCCCAGATTGAGCCAAGCTTCTCCCTTTTATACTGCTCCAGCCCTTGGAGCATGCCCAGTGTGGCTGGGCGGGGCAAGACTTCCTCCACCCACAGGGCAATTAAACCATCCTGGCCCAGTGCAAGGTATGCATACCCCGTCATGCCAACTATAAACTAGTTGAATAAATAGCTTTTGACTAAACAGTGTTTCACAAAGGAGTGTGTGAGAGCAGAGAACTTGTGCTATTTGTTTAATGGTTGCAAATACTGTAAAACATTTTGAGGGAAGAGGGTCCTGTTTTATTTTATATATATTTTTGTGTACCCTTGAAGACTGTGACTGGAAAACTAGAAATATTATTTAAATAATTGCTGCTTCATTTACATCAAAATGCCTGCTGCGCTGTGCCGATCAACTGTTTGGACGCGCCGTGGTCGACAAGGGAAGCCTTTGTCGACCACTCCCGTATGACTCGTGAAATACAAGACAGGAAAAGCAAGACACTGAAAAAAGAAAAGAATTAGGAGCAGATTTTGATTAATTCATGTAATGAGACTTGTTTTCTTTTTATTGTAATTATATTTATTGATTAGCTTTATTATTAAGTGAAATGGAATATGTGGCCATCAATGATATTTCTGCATCGTTGACCATTAATTTAAAAAAACACTAGTTTAACAAGCACAGTATTTTCTGAACATCTGGTGGGTGTATACAATAGGTCTGTTCTCTAAGACAAACAGAATGCAATACATAGATAACTGGTAGAATGAACTACTGTCCCTCGAAAAAATGATGAAATCTACATCAGCCATTCGTTACAATATACATACAGTAATAGGAAAAAAAATCATGGGACTAAGTCTTCATGCTTTGAATATAAATGTCTTGGCTTTTCCTCAGTCCTTATATGGCAGTAGGATATTGTAAGTGTCAATAAAATACATGTAGGTGGATTTAAATATTATGTCTATATAATATATATGTATGTATATAGACAGAGAGAGAGAGAGAGAGAAGCACATCTTTATGTCTGTCTGTGAGTCCGTTTGTTTAAGAACTCCTCCTAAACGGTAAGAGCTAGAGCCACCAAATTTGGTATGCATCTTCCTCTTCTCCTAACTTAGAATCATAGAACCATAGAGCTGGAAGAGACTTCAGAAGGTCATCGAGTCCAGCTCCCTGCCCTAGGCAGGACCAATCCCAACTAAATCAACCCAGCCAGGGCTTTGTCAAGCCAAGATTTAAACACCTCTAGGGATGGAGACTCCACTACTTCCCTAAGTAACCCATTCCAGTGCTTCACCACTCTCCTAGTGAAATAGTTTTTCCTAATATCCAACCTGAACCTCTCCACCGCAATTTGAGACCATTGTTCCTTGTTCTGCCATCCATCACTACTGTGAACAGCCTTTCTCCAGCCTCTTTGGAACCTCCCTTCAGGAAGTTGAAGGCTGCTATCAAATTCCCCCTCACCCTTCACTTCTGCAGACTAAACAGGCCCAACGCCCTCAGCCTCTCCTTGTAGGTCATATGCTCCAGCCTGCTAATCATTTTGGTTGTCCTCCACTGGACCCTCTCCAATGCGTCCACATCCTTTTTGTAGTGGGGGGCCCAGAACTGGACACAATACTCCAGATGTGGCCTCACCAGAGCCGAATAAAGGGGAATAATGACATCTCTGGATCTGCTGGCAATGCTCCTCCTAATGCAACCTAATATGCCATTAGCCTTCTTGACTACAAGGGCACACTGTTGACTCATATCCAGCTTCTTATCCACTGTAATCCCCAGGTCCCTTTCTGCAGAACTACTACTTAGCTGGTTGGCCCCCAGCCTATAACAATGCTTGGGATTCTTCCATCCCAAGTGCAGGACTCTTAAACAAGGTCAGGGTTTGTTTGTGTGAAGACTACCAAAAGTCCTGGGAAAAGGACAGTTTTCCAAAACATGCAAAGGGAGAGGCTGCTGTTCTGAGGACACGCTATGAAAGACCCTGTAGGAGAGAGTTATCTTGCAAAGTGTCCACTGAGGGCCTCTAAGAGGGTGGCCAGTAGGGCTGGGGCTCTACCATCTTGCCTGTCAACACATCAGAAAATAGTCTCCCTACCCCAAACCAGTCCACCCCCCATTCCTGGCCCTTGGCCGCAGTGCTAGAGGGGAAGAGAGAA